TACAGCAAGAACATTTGTTGTAATAAGAACCTCAAGGCAGCTAGGTTTTGTAATGATTGATTTGTAAAATTATTGAGGGCAAAAAAAAGAGAAAATAGAGTCTGTCCCAAAAACACTATTTCCCTGAAGGATAAAATTTGAGTATAAATTAAAACATCTTGGTGATATGATGAAAATGAACTGCAATACCAGGTTTATTTAAAACTCAGAAAACATACCTTTCTGCCTTTTTTTTTTTTTAACAGGATTACATCATGAAAACACATTCAGTGTATTTATTGGAAGTTTCATTATGGCTGCTAAAAATCTCTGATTTCTGGTTGTATGAGTTTCCTAATTGGATTCTTAAACTACTCAGCGGCTCAGATGTACTCTGTGCAGGCAGGAAATAATTATAAGTAACAATAACACAATCTTATCCTTTTAACCAGTATTTCTTCCTTTCATTCTTTTTTTAGGAATACATTTCACATCCTATGTTACTTCCAAAAACTTTCCTCTTCTGTCTTTAAAATATAATTTGATGTTTCTGAGGAAGGAACATCTTCAGTGGATTTAGATGATGGATTTCTATTAGATTATTGAACACTGTCATTATCCTAAGAATGCCTAAGAAAATGTTCCTGCGGGATGCCCAGGTGGCTCAGGGGTTTAGCGCCGCCTTCAGCCCAGGGCCTGATCCTAGGGACCGGGGATTGGGTCCCACGTCGGGCTCCCTGCATGGAGCCTGCTTCTCCCTCTGCTTGTGTCTCTGATGAACAAATAAAAAATTTAAAAAAAGAAAAAAAAGAAAATGTTCCTGCCACCTATAAAGTTCAGTCTTTATATGATTCAGTGTCAAGGATGATTTCATCTACTGAGATACAAAGAATTAGTTACTGTCTTGTACCCTCCCAATCCTCAAAGTCTTAATCTGAATGTCAAATTTTCACTAATGTGGAAGCCAGAAGAAAACTATCATGTTTGAGAGAAAATGCTTAACATTTTTTGCCACCTAAATGATTTTTTTTCATTTGATGGAAAATTTTCCTGTATTATATTTCCCTCCTCTACTAATTTTACTGTGTTATATAAATTTTTCCTGATTTACTCTCTGAATATGATGAGATAAACTGGTGGCTTCTGTTGAAAGGAGAAAAGCAAGCATTGAAAACCCATATTTGTAAAAAATGTCTTGGTCCAGGCAACACTATGACTGGGGCCTAGAAAATCTTCCTTATTACATGTCCAGTTTCTCTTGTGAACAGTGTAGGAAGGAGAATTTTGACAGTACCATCCATGTCTTATGCCCAGAAGGTTGTGTCCCCGCATCCTTTGTTCCTGGAATATATTGAAGTTAGAGAGTAGGGGAATAGTGTGATGTTTCAAGAAAAAGCAGGTTTATCACTGCCCTTAAAGGTAACTTTGATCATCACTGCAAAGGAGTTTTCAGAATTTACCTCTATGAACTATAGAATGTAAATGGTTTTATGTTCTCCAGATTAAAATTACTCACATGAGGAAAGATTATATTGAGTAAGTACATAACCAATTTTCCAATATTCTGAGCTTCTCCAAGAGAAAGAGTAATAGCTAAAATTTATATAGGATTTACTATATGCTTGGCGATATTTTAGGATCTGCACATATATTAATTCATTTAACATATACAACTCTCTAAGTTATGTACAATGATGATTCTTATTTTATAGGGAAACCAGAGGACAAGGATATTATTGTAACTTGTCCAATGTCATGATATAGCTTCATTAACTGGTAAAGGGTAGAACCAGGACCTGCACACTGATGGTCTGGTTCTAAAGTCAAGTCCCTTGATCACTGTTCTATACTGCTTCATTACTAGAGTAATGTAATCATAAAAAGAGTAAGTAATGTATTTACATTTTTCAAAATAAATGTGGGGAGAAAAATTTTAAAAATAGGAACTTCGGGCCTTACCCTTTTATATGATATCAGAAAAGCTAGTTACAGTCAGTTTTACCCATGAAAAACATATTTGAAGGCTTATTTATAAAAATCACTTTCTGAGCTCAAATCTTATTCCAGAAGATCAATGTCTGCATGGTACATTGTGCATAATTTAATTTTCCCAGTTGAACATCTTGACACTATATGAACCATGAATGCATGAAATAGGAATTCCAAATGTCTTCCACATGGTGAAAGAACTTTTCCAATACTTGTACAGGAAGCTTAAGAGTAGTTTGAAATTAAGTTATGCCTGTTCTTGGTGACTTTTATTAGGTATGCCCAAGGTATCAGCACTTTTCTCTGAGTGGGACTCTGAGGTGATAGATAGATGAGTCTGCTGTCTGTATTTAGGCACTTTGCTCATTTCCTGAGGGCTGTGTGGAAGGCATTTGGGTGCTCATTAAGTTCCCCACCATTCCCCGAGAGCAACAGGTGGTGAATCAAAGCTTCCCTGGTATGTCATGGCTGGTTTCCTCAATGTCTTGGAAATAACGGATGGCATCTGCATGCTCTCTGTAGTACCACTAGATAAAGGAATGAATAGCAACAGGAAGTATTTCCAAAGCATAAACTATCATACAAGTTCTGGCTACCACACATTTTAAATCCATACATATGGTTTCATCTTTTAAATATTGTTACTCAATCAAACTATGAAATCAACTCTGTTAACTATCCTGTGGTTAGCAACTGAGTAGAAGCAAGGCTTGTTCTAAAGAACATCTCAAATTAATGAATCTCTATCATAAAGTTATAAATTTGTAACTCTACATTTATACATATCCAATGACTAATAATGAAAATGTGTTCTTAAATTGTCTCCTTCACTTCTGTATCCTGAGGACCTACTACATTATAAAGATAGAATATTGCTCACTCACATCCTGAACTAGAGTGAGAAGACAAAGGTAATTAAACCAAAAACAGAATCCGTGATTTAAATCAAATACTGGGTATTTCCTCCCAAATACTTGGTAATTGCACAGAAAAGTATCTCTAGTGAAGGATAAAAAGGTTTGTCAATGGATAGCTTATCACAGCAGTCACAGTAAAGGTTTAAAAACAAAGGAAAATATCAGCTATATGATCTTGACAAAATCTATCTGACAATGTCCTAGGACCCTAGGAATAAAAACATTTACTGGAGGTAGCAAATCACCAACACTCTTCCCAATTCCCAATTTAAAAAAGTTCAAAACACTCAGACTAGTTCACATGTGACTAGGGAAATGCCCTGGGATATTTTTCGTGGTGGAAGACATAATATAAATAAGAGGTAATGATAACAAATAGAATCATTCAAATTGGTTTTTGTTCATTTTGGAGGGAAAATCCCAACACCTTTACCCTTACATAGTCTTTCTCACCAAGACAGTGCCTCGTACTCCTGAGAAGGGACAACTGAATTTCAATGCAGCTCTGAGTTTCTTGACACATGAGCTGGCATTAGCAGTACAGCTCCACTAACTTATGAGTAAGTGCTGCAGGAAACACTGTCCCAGCCCTTCCCAAATGTCCCTTCTTTCCAACACCTTCCCCTTTATTTATAATGCAACCAGGGATTTAACTAATGTTGAGTATAATTTTCTTAAATTTGTTTTAAAAATCTATGATCTCCCAATCATTTGTAAAAAGCTCTTTTCTTAATGCATGGGAATTACTAAGGAACTGCTATAAATAAACTCTACAATATGAAACACATACTTTTTTTGGAAACAATTTATTTGCTAAATATCAAGTAATAAGGAAAAGGCTTCAACCCTTTAGTAAGCTGTTGTCATAGAGTGTACTTTTTCACTGAGGAAGTCAAAGACAAAATATAATAAAAGGACATATCTAAATGTCCATGATACTAATCTGGAACCACCAAACAAAAAGCAGGAATTTCTGAGTGTCAGACTGAAAAACACAGTTTCCATGTCTGCTACTTATACCAAATAAAGTCATAAAATATATGTGATACCATACAATGTCTGGGGAACTCAATAATTTAACATATTTATTCTAAAGCTATATTATTTCATGTACCATACTTCAAACACAACTTTCATCAAATAGTATATATAACCTTACACTGAAACTAGGATTATTAATTTTAGAACGGTCTAATGTACACTAAAGAGTGATTCAAAATCTATGAGAACAAATTAGGAAAAATATACTTGCATTATGTTACTCTATCAAATGGTTCTAGAATTTAAAGAAAACTCTAAAACTTTTAAGGTTTAAAAAGCAGATCTTAAAGGAGTAACTACTCCTAGGGCAGTAGAACTTTAAGCCTTATCAATTGCCATGTGAAAAATTTTAAGCAATTAAAAAATGAAAGTTTCTTAATATTTTTAGATGATTTTAAAATATGGAAAACAATGTAAACTAAGCTTTAAGCAATTATTTCAAAAGATACATACAAAGTTTATGGAAATAGTATATAGGTCAGAATAGTAATCTGATTTGTACTTTGCAGTGAGAGTTATTGATAGGAAGTGGAAGCAGAAAATATTTTAGAGCAATTATTATAATGAATGAATTACAAAAACAGCTACCTAAATGTTTAATTTATGGGGATGTTAAGACTGTGATAGGATGTTAAGAATAAAATTAAAATGTGAAAGTAGACATTCTAGACTTTAAAAATTCCTGTGTGGCACTTACATTTTTTTCAAGGGGCATAGTAGGTTCAATAGTAGAATACAGTTCATATAGCAATGGCAAACATTAGCAATACCTGTAGCAATGGCAAATGTTAGCAATACCTGTGCCTGTTTTCAATTTAAAAATGCCAATGTGGGGCTTGAACCCATGACCCTGAGATCAAGACCTGAGCTCAGATCAAGAGTCAGATGTCCAACAGACTGAGCCACCCAGGTGCCCCTTGATTTAAAAAAATTAATTGATCAAGATGGCTGGAGAGGATTTAAAGAATAGCGTTATATTTTTAATTTTATCTTTTTCCTATTTTCCTTTGATTTTTGTGACTTTCACAATTACAGTTCTATGAAGCTGAGACTGTCAGTGCAGTATTTATTTACCTTTATCCCCGGAAGTCCAGGAAGCCCAGGAAGCCCTGATTCACCCTACATAGGAAAATCACATAGCATTATAGAACAATAGTCACTCATTCACAGTATCTGGAGAAAAATATGGCAAATGATTTGTATTCAGTTCCTAACTGAATACTTGTTGCATATATATATATATATGTATATATATATACACATATATAAATACTGTCTAATTTTAAGAACTTTGGTGAGATTATACAGTTCAGTCAACTCTTGATTCAGAGATTGGTTGACCACCTTGCAGATTTTTCAGGATTTTCTCTCTTCCTACCATCTCACTGCTCATTGGCATCTCTACTGGAAAGCAAGTCAGAGAAGTAAAAGGAACTCCTATATTTTATTTTTCCCTAGTAAATGATTTCTTGTGGAAGCTGAAGCTCTTTGCTGAAATGAGGATTATGTATGCATTTGAATAATGCATCCTATTCCAGGGCTCTCTTACCTCAGATAATCAAGAGTTGGCTGTGTGAACAGATGGTCACATCAAAACAATACACATTAAAAGTCTTGCTCACTTAAAAGTATTGTAAGATTTCTTTTCCATTCCTGAATGATGAGAAGATAAATGCATAGTTAAGATTATACTTAACTCCAGACTGTATTTCTGACAATTGTTGAGTCTGGATAACCCTGCTTAACAATTTAAGGCTAATGGTACCATGCGTGCAGCTGTTCCTGAATACAGGTTTGAGATTAAGTGGTACATTTTGTGTGAGCACACTGGAGTCAAGCTAAATCTCATTTTCACAGAATTGTCTACATTATTTTAAATAAAGTATAGTGAGAAGAGGTTACATTGCTTAGAAAATCTCCTGAATTCCACTAAGAAAACATAAAGGAATTGCCAAAGAAAATGAAAGTCCATCCTGTATTGGACTGAGGTGACTATTATTTGTGGAAACATTTGAGGGTAAAAGGCACACGTTGTTTCATAATGGTCAGTCAGTGGGACAGACAACTATACTGAAAGAGGTTAGGACATCACACTAAATAAAAGTGGTAAAGGGAGACATTTCTTTTAATCTAAATGCCTTAACAATCCTCATTCCAAGGAAAATCTACTAAGAACAATCATATATTTTGTCTTTAATTGTATTACTTTCATATCATGAAGAGCCATAATTTGCTTTGGTATTATCAAACAATGACTCCAGATACTGTTTATTAAGCTGTATGGTTAGATATAGAGGGGACAACAACTTTCCTGATGGGTTTAGGGAAGAGGTGCTTCAGGAATGCAAAAGAAAAGCCATGCTGTTTGAAACTATTCAACTGAAATTTTGCACTGTGAACAGTAAGACTAAGATGAGGTTATGCCAGAGAAGAAAGAATGATTATTAAGAATTTGATATTCCATTCACAGAACACTTGTCCAAGTAGATTAAACTTTCCAAGGAAATGTTACACATTTGATTTTCTTTTTTCTTTCCTCTTTGCCCTTCAATCAATAAGTTTAAGTAGATCCAATAAGTAGGGCAGCATCCATATCTTACCGAAGATTCTCTTTTACTTCAAAAAAAGAAGTTCGAGGCCTTTGAATATACAGTAAATTGTAGTACAATATACAACCAATTAAAAGTAAACCTATTAGTGATAAATTTAGTTTCATATTGTTTTAGGAAAGGCCCCCAAAACTCAGGGCATCCCATTTGAAATATGTGAAAATATAGCAGTCATAACACTGTTTCCCTGCAGTTCTCACCATATGCCCCCCCTCCACTATATTAAAAAGGATTCTATGACTACTTTTTAAAAAATATTTATATTTACATGCATTCATAGACACATGCTCATGTTTTCTAACAATAAGAAATATGTATGAGACATTATGGGCTATTTTACAATGTAGATTGAATACTTAGACTTAAGCTTTTAGCTGTTTCCTATATCACATGTGTATGTAGGTAGGTACGTATTTATATTAAAGTATTAAGTGGACTTTTCAAAGGAAACATATTTCAGGAATGCATATTTCATTTTCTTGGATTTTTGTAAATTCGACCTGCTAAATTTGGAAAAATTTATGTTTCCTTAATGTAGTAGTCAACATAATGAAAGATTATAAAATGTTTAATGTTAACCTTTGTGGAACATGTCAACATTCTTAGGAAGTCTTTTCTTCCTATATAGATTCCCTGTATTTATGCCATGAAGACTTGTCGTCCAGTAAGACATGGTTTTTGTTGACTTTTCCACTCTCCGCTATGTCTTGGCCCAGAAGTTTCTCTGGATTGATTCTTGGGCATACACAGCCAAAGGTCAGATCTGGGTCATAATTAAGAATTGGTTTGTTCTTCCATTCAAAGAATACCTGTCCAAGTAGATTAAGCTTTACACATTATATTTCAGGTTCTCTTTTTTTTTTCTCTCCCTTTGACACTTTACCCTCCACTAAAGGAGACCGTTGTTCACTGTCAAAGTTAGGACTCTGCTTTTGCCCCACATCCCTGTTACAGTGCCCTATACTTTTAGATATACTTCAACTGGGAGGATCCCTTCCAATGGAGGATCAAGTATTTTTACCCCTTTAAAATTAAAAAAATATATTTTATAAAAGATGTGGAGAAGTTAGGAAGAAAGAATTCTGTGATAAAACATAATATCTAATTTTATAAATCTACACATTTATATTAGGAACATAAAAACATACTCTAAGTCATGTATCAATCACATACTTTACTGTTGAATCTATCAAAGAAAAAACAACTATGATGAAATCATTCTACATTATGAATGTTGCTCTAAATAACAAATTTTCATACTGGACAACACCAGACAGTGGAAAGCTAATTAATGGGCTTTCGTTCTGTCACAAAACTTTCTACATTTCTGGAATGTCCCTCACGCAGGAGCTTAAGTATTGAATCCACAACACAGTTCTTCAATGATGAGGAAAATTCCATGGAAGATCTCTTAAATTGATTCTGTACTCAATCCTGCTTGTCATTTTCTAATCTTAAGTAAGCAACAAGCATGGGAATACTCTACTTTTAAAGCAATGTTCGGCTAAGTATTGCCAAATCCTGATATTAGACAAGGAAGTCATAAATATGGTGGGCGAGATTGCATCAAAGGATAGAATCTGGCCTAAATATTGGTAAAAAAAGATGCTGTTCATTTCAGGGCACGTACTCATTCAGATAGGTTGTGAGCTTTTAATGAATCCACCTTTTCTCTCCATATAATTTAAAGCAGATTTGTAATGAAATACAAAGGAAATCCAATGTTTCTATATGTAAACCTAGAAACTTCCAGGAGTGAATCAAAACTGTATTTCTAAATAATCATGATAAGGCAATATTTATTAAGCTATTGAAAATCATTTTGGATCTTCCACTCTGAAAACAGTGGAACCTATACAGAATTACAGCAGATTTGTTTTGTTTTGTTAAAAAGGCATAATAGTCTTGCAGACATTTCTTTTAGTATACTACAGATTTGGAGAGCAGTTTAAATTTAGCCTTTAATTTTTAAAGACTAAGCAACCTAAAATTAGATCATCTGAGAAGATTATTTGCTTTTTCAAAAGAAAGTGGACCATGGATCGCTGATGATACTACTAATTTCAGAGATCTTACATATAGAATCAGTAGGAAATCTTAGGAATTAAATGTCAAAATTTGCAGAATTCTTCTGGGCTCTTTGGAAGTCTGAACTTTACCTGAAACTGGGCCCTGATGAATCATTACTCTTTGAGCCTGAGTTTTAAAAGAAAACTCTGTTTTTAAATTAGAGAAATTTTAAAAGAACATGAAAGACCTTCTCAAAAATTACTTTAGTCCTAGGTGTTTAAAACAAAGCAACGATCCTCTCAATGACTTCAAGAGTGTGGGAACACTATTTTACCATGTCTTAAGATTCCAAATTCCTACAATGAGATTGATTCTCTCTTTCCATTTACACTGAGGTAGATTCTATGTCTCTAATATTCTTTTCTACAACATCAGCTATTGCTAGATAGAGGTAGAGTTATGATCTTAAGAGATTTAACCTAATGTGGAATTCACATTTACTTGCTAGCTACCATACATCTGTTACCTAAAATCTGACGGCACAGGGCACTGATATCCAGATGCTCAAACAATAAACTGCTAACAGTTGTTTCCTGTCTCAGACTCAAATGAGAATATGAATCTAAACATAATCACTGCATATCCTCTAATTTGTCACTGAAGTGAAGCACAAATGATTAAAAAATTCATGTATATATCCACAGATTGATTAAAGTGCTTGGCTAGTGTCTCCAATTAAAGCTTAGTTTATTAAAAAATCTGGTTTGTATAACATAACATTCATTGCATAGGTAGATGTGATTCACACAAAAAGTTATCAGTAGGGAAGTATATGAAATGAAAGGAAAAGGAATATAAGAAACTATCATTTGCAATTGAAACAGTTTAGTAAATGCTCACTTCTTCTCATGAATGATAGGAACATGCAGAGTATCTTTAAACATGCAAGCTGTTGGCATTCCAACCTGACTGATCTGTTAGCTTCAAACGGCTGAGTATATGCAGACCGTAGTATATAGAGCATCTTTTTACATGTACAGAGTGTTTCATATTTTGCCATGTCAGCATCAACCCTTTTAAAATGCAAAACAATCACACTCTGCAAGCAAAGCATGAAAACTGCATCATTTTTCAATAATTGTTTTCATATTACACAGAGAATAGTAGATATAAAATGGCAAACATAGGATGGTACAAAGACGGCACTAGAAGTATTACCTTTTGTCCTGGACGACCAGATTCTCCAGGTTCCCCCTGGACAAAGAAAACCCAAGATGATAAAAACAATCTTAGAAGAATTTTCCAAAGTCCTCAGGCCTCTGGACACTTTCACAGAGATGGCCTAGCCTTCCTGGTCATTTCACTTTATTCTATTACTGTATATCTCACCAGAGACAGGAAAATCTTTTTTCTGTGAACATACCTAAAGCTCACGTACAAATCCACATTTCCATAAAAACCAACTGCAGAGAGAAGTCAAGGCAAGGCCTCTTATTTAAGCCTTTATCAGATTTCCAGCAGATACTCCCTGTTGTGTTTGGAAGGGGATTATTACAGAAGAATAGAAACAGTTATAACCAGAACTGGTGCAAAAGAAGAGAAAGCAGAGGCTTATAAAATTCAGAACTGTAACTCCTGGGGTAGAATCATTCACAAGGTTACAGTTACCTTAATTCCTGCAGCAGATGATCCAGGGTCACCCTAAAACAAAACCCATGAGAGATTATCCCATAAGTTATGAGAATAAAAATCATACAAATGCACAGAAAGCCATTATCAACATGGCACTCAAAAGAGCCCCAATACTACCAGACCTAACCACGCTCCATAGGACTATGTCAACATGTCAGTTGTTAAGATGCCAACAATTTCCAAGGTACACAATGCACTTTCTAAAAACATGGGTTTATTTTCAATGCAAAATACTTAAGGACTGTATTCCTTGAAGTCAATATAAATACATAAATATGTATCTCTTCCCTTGACATAATGCTAAGACTGTATTCTAAAGTAATAAATTATAATTTAGAGATCTGGGATTTTGGTTTTCTCTATTTCTGGAATGTATTAATGTCACAGGCTCTCAGTTATTGGGAGTTCCTTAACCCTCTTGGTCTTCAGAAAGTCAGGGTTCAACAGATGAAGTCAAAGGGTTAATGATGTCGAGCTGGAAAAAGCCACGTAGCAGGTCAGTTTGTTTTCCTCATGAAGCACTGTCACAGTTACGACCAGCACATTTTCTCTGGCTTTACACTTATTTCATTTTGATGCAGTCACCAGAAAATTACAGGATGATGGATGACTCTTTGGTGGCAGGGACATATGTAAGATCTGGGAGAAAATCATGAGATAGAATCTGCTTTCTTAAAAAGCACTGTACTCCATTGGAATATGACAGAGGGTGACCACATTCCGAAGCAAACATGCTATAAAATCAGCATAGAGGGATTCGTGGAAAATAATATGGAGGTTAAGAATGTTGCTTATTTCTAAAATGAGATCAGCAAAGGGCCTAGATTTTCAAGCTCCTTCTAGCCTCTGTCCCATGAATACACTACCAGGCAAAAAGAAAAAAAGAAGGGAGAAAACTTAACCATTTGAGTCTGTCGAGAAAATAGGAACTGCTACAGGAGGAAGGTACTTATTGGAATTTCCTGAGTTGTCATATTCATGCAAGTGCTCAAGGAACTCCAGGGGTCTGGTCCCTTGTTCTGGATTTAGGAAGCTGCTCATCACTCTCTCTTAGAGACACAGATGAGGTCTCAGGCCTCTCTGTACATGGAGCATTTGTTCCCCTTGCACAATTCTTCACACCTCTTCTCCACGCTGGAACCTGCTCTCTCCTGAAGTCTCAGCTTACATGGTTTTGCCTCAAAGAACCCTTCACCAACCAACTTCAGACCATGCCCTTACATACACATCCTACTACACAGCACTGAGCTCTGCTCATGCCCTGCATAGTTCACTTCATAATTATGTATTTATCTTTTCTGCCTATTCATTGTCCCTTCATCAGACAATCAACCACATGGGGGCAGATTCTTTGTCAATTTTTATTCAGTGCCCAGCCCATAGGAGATGCTCGATACCTATATGGCAAGTGAATGAACAAATCTCAAAAAGAATGTTTTAAACAAGTCAGCAGTCAAGGGTCAAAATGAAAAAAATTTTAGGAAGGAAAAAAAGCTTAGGAAGGAGAAGGAAATAATAGATTAGCTTACTGAAGAAACTGATACATATGTGAGCTCTTTTGATGTCTGTAATTGTTATTACCCAAGGAAAAAATTAAAACATTACAAAACATTAAGCCCCTAAATACTGTCTTATACTGATTTCTCCTTCTCACCAGTAATATTCAATTGAGGTCCAAATGGGGAGTAAAATAAATGCAGCTAATAAAATAACACTTCTCTTTCTACTAAATCAAATCTGAAAGCCATCAACACCAACGAATCAGGTTTGCAATATTTTGCACAATAAGACCTTAATATTCCTAAAAGCAGTTTTGACTTTGCTAAGTCCCTTCTCTCATCTCATTTATACCCCATAAATCTCTGATGAGATAGGGTAGATATTACTGTTTTCACTTAATAGATAAGGAAATTGAAGCAACTAGAGAATAAGTGAATTTTGGACTCCCTAAACTCCATTGCCATGTACTTTTTATTAGAATAAGAATTATTGGTTTATTTCATTTTGACAACAGGGCATAAAGGTTGCAATAAACTTGTAAATAAAAGGAAGTTGCTTGTATTAATGGCAGTTTAAAACCTTTTATTTTTAGTGTCCTAATGGAAAGTGGCTGGGTAACCTACCAATGAGAATAAGGACAAGACTTAGTTCTCATAGAAATTGGATGGAGAGTAAAGGACAGTTTCCTGAAAGACTGATTTATTTGTGGAAATTGGAGCAGTTTCATTTGGAAGGACTATGAGTGATATTTTAATTCTCTTTTTAAAAACTTAGACTGTGAAATCTCAAAGAATTTTTATAACTTTTAAGTAGCAAGACAACTGCTGAAAGACTGTCATAAGTTAAACATTTTAAAGGATAGTGCTTCAAGTAGTGGAAATAAAACAGCCAGTGTTTATAATCCTCATTCCTCCAAAAGTGAAAGTGAATACAGGATTAAAGTAGGAAAAACCCAACTATGTCTTAAGTATACTCTTAGCTTCATAAGTCAGCTGGTCTAGAAACAAGTTCCCGCAGGATGAGACACAAATACTTGGAGAAGACACTTGAGATAAATGAATTTGACTTTTGATCACTCAAATACAGAGAGTTTCCGTTTTTGGTCACGATTATTTTCAAACACAATAGTTAGTATGTATTTACATATGTGTTAATAAAGTCTAGGTGGATAAATGAAGTGAACATGGTGACATTTCTATCATTCATTAATTCATTAATTCATTCAATAAATGTTTGAGCACTGACGAAGTGCCAGCATGGTCTGTTTGCAGGGATACCAGGTACTGGGTAAGAACAGGGAGCAAGGCAGTTACAATCTCCACCCTTGATCTGTGCTCATCATAGTCACCTGCCGATATATATATATACACAAAAATATTACTGATTGAAAGCATGAAAAATATTTTCTTTCTTTCCATTATTTAAAGAAAAATCTGGGCTAGGAAGAAATTCTCATGTTTGGGAAACCTTGTGTCCCTGTATAGACATGCCTAGGTGGCTCAGTGGTTGAGCTTCTGCTTTTGGCGTAGGGCCTGATCCCAGGATCAGGGATCAAGTCCCACATCGGGCTCCTTGCAGGGAGCCTACTTCTCCTTTGGCCTGTGTCTCTGCCTCTCTGTATGTCTCTCATAAATAAATAAAATCTTTATAAAAAAGAAAGAAAAATAAATGCATGTCACAGGACAAAGTTCTACCATTCTATGAAAATGAAAAACAGTCGTAAGGAAAACAGATTTTTTTTAAAAGGTTGTCTATTCAATAAATATTTACTATCTTACAACTATGTGCCAGGAACCTGGATTGGTGCTGGGAATAGTTTGACATCATATAGTTTTTTGTTTATTTGTTTTTTCTTTCCCAATGATCTAGATGTCCGATTAGACAAGAAATTACAATAAACCCTGATGATGATTATGAAAGGGATTTTAAAGAGTGCTGTGGGAGCAGAGAGTAAGTAACCTAACCAACCTGGAGGTGACTGAAAGGCTGCCCCAGGGAGGGAAATGACTTATAACTTGAGGTCCCAGGGAACTGAAGAATAGAAGGTAGAGGCAGGAGTGGACAGACACAGTATAATAACCTGAGGTGACCACATGTGCCAAGTTAGAGAAGGCCCCTTGCTGGGGGTGGGGAAGCCCCTGGAGATAGGATTTCACATGTGATTTTAAGAAGAGACAATTTGATGGTAGCTCCAAGTATGGGTGTGGCTTCCAGAAAAGACGAGAGGATGCAAATCAAAGTGAAGGCACAGACAGGTCATTCCAAGACAGGGAAGGTGAAGCTTCTGAATCAACATACAATGAATTGTGAATAATACAGTGGCATGATCAAGCCATTCAGCTTGCTGCACACACACCTACTTTCAAGTTGGCTGAAAGAGATAACAAATGCATTTCTACATTTGTCGGTGGGATTAATGCTCCAAAGAGCAGAACCTAACGTTTGCCTAGTAACTCCACACATGACTGAAATCATTCTTTGGAGTGTGACTCTCAAGCCTAGAGAATACTGCAGTTGCTGGCCACGAACGAAACACAGCCTAGTGGTTTTTACAGTTCCACAGCATTTCCAGATGACCAGTCTGGAAAGGTTTAGATTGTTTTACCATCCAAAGGCACTGAGTTGGATCAAAAGGAAAAAAAAAATCCTATTAAAGTGAATCAGTCAATGATGTAATTTACTACATCAATGGCAGAAAAAAAAAGCATATTTTGATTTTACATCTCAAACTTGGTAAATGATGAATGAGTTTCACATACTGAAACCAAAGGCCATGAGAAGAGTATTTCCAACATACTGGAAACAAATTATATGACAGAAGCAGGAAATGTTTAAAAAAACACAACAAAAATTATATTCCAATTACAGCATTCTCAGGATGAATGCTACAGGTCAGATTACATATTATATGTTACAGATTCCTATTTACAATCCCCTGTTTAGGCTCATTGATGGTTTATAGAAATGATTTCCGTTTTAACTGAAGCATTTCTTGTACTTAATTTCAGTTGACTAATAAAAATTTTTGATAAAAAAGAAAACAACCAATCTAGTGGATTTCAATTTCCATGTGGTAAGAAAGCTGACATTTATTGAGAGTTTACTATGTGTGAGTCAGTATGGTAAATGATTTGCATTAATATAAAAAATAAGAACAGTATTCCTTTGAGGCAGACTTGGCCTTTTCAAAGAAAAATGTTGCTTTACTACTGGAAAATTGAATTTAAAAAAAATGTGTGATTAAAGAAACAATTATTGGCCTACATTCCAAACATGAAACTTTAAAAATCCATCTTCTAAAGCATAAAATTGTCTACAGAAATCCACACAGGTATAGTTCAGACTTGACATAAACTTTTTTCACTTGAAAAAATGGCTCTCTGTTTAGAAGATTTCCTTTCTTTGAGCAGAGACTGTCAACTAAGGCCTTCGGACCAACTCCAGCTAGCACCTGTTTTTGTGTGGCCCATGTGCTAAGAATGGTTTTTATATTTTTACATGGTTAAAAAAAATCAAAAGAACAATATGACACATGAAAATTACATGAAATTAAAATTTCAATGTCCAGAAATAAAGTTTTATTGGAACATAGCCATACTAGTGTGTGTACATGTTGTTTACGGTTGCTTTCACACTACAAGAACAGAGTTGAAGAGTTGTCATAGAGAGACCACAAGGCCCAGAAAACCTAAAATATTTATTTTCTGGCCCTTTACAGGAACTTTGCTGACTTCTGGTTTTAAGTATAATCAAGAAAGTTAAATATAATATCCAGGTTTATACATCTGGGGTTTAAAATTCTGACTTTGAGAGTGATTGAGGTGTATCGTTGTTCTTACTAAATATTAAGAATATTCATATTTGATTGCATATTTGATTTGATTGCCATATTTGATTGCAGCATGTTAATTAAATTTGACAAGTATGTAAAATGGGTCTATAGCAATGGTTTTCAACTAGAAGTGATTTTGTCCTCCAGGGGCCACCTGGCAATGTCTAGAGATAGGTTTGGTTATCACAACTACTAGAATCTAATAGGCACAGGCCAGGAATATTAAACATCCAAGAGCCCCCTCAACAAAGAATTATCTGGCTCAATATGTCAATAATGCGAGGATGGGAAACCCTGGTCTACAAGAGACAGAGGGTCCACTCTAATTTCCAGACTGCTCCTCGAATACAAACACAACTGCTACTTGGTGACATTAATTCATTCCGACCATCCATGCCATATTTATATTAATATTTATAAGAATGAGAAAGATAAATTTCTCTTTATTTTATGGGGATGCTTTTATGACTAACCATTATCCATCTGTACTGTAATAATTTCAAAGTGAAATATTTTTATCCTCAACTCTAAGCTTAAATGAATAAATCTTTTTTTATTACTCAATTACTTAGCTTGATTTTAATGAAAATCCAACTATTCTGTTTTCATTTTCCTAAAATTTTTCTTAATTCTTTACAGCACAAGTGAAGTGAAATACCCTTCTTATGCCAGAGATGTCTGTGAAGTATGAATCCAAACAAAAGCTATAATGATAGACGGGGAGTGGGTGATGAGAAGATGTAGAAAGATAAGCCACAAGACCACTGTAATATAAATACTAACAATGCTTTAAAAGGTTGGGGGTGTGGGGGGGGACAATGTAAAGGCTGACAAAATATCTGGATTTAGTAGATTTCAAGTTAAGGCAAATTTTCCAAGATTGCATTAGAGGCTCTAATTACATGACATTTACTTTCAAACTTTTAAATTTCATCTCAATCCTGTGACTTGTCTCCCCAAACTGGAACAAAAGGAATCACTTTAGAAACTATTTTTATATCTCTGAGTATGAAGGGACTCTATATGAATAAATGGTTTTATTTCTTGAAAGCCATATTACTGCAATCCTAGCTACACATTTTCTAGAATTTGTGATATACCATTTTACTTTTAAAATATTTAATTTTGTAGCTTGGAGCTTGTGGAATGGTCACCTATATAAGCTAGATATTCAAATGTTTTCTAAACTTGTAGAATTATGTCTGATCTTATCATATTAAACTACTACCACTCACCTCTCTCAAAATCTTCCATTTTCACTTGCATGAAATAACATTTCTTGCTCATACACATCTTTCATATTTCATAGCACTGTACCTTTTCGCCTATGTCACCTTTGGGACCGTTCTCTCCAGGATCTCCCTAAGGGGGGAAAAGTGATACAGTAAAATATATTGGTGACATTACATATAGTAGCTTTCATTATTTTAAGTTTGCTTTCCTGTATACTATATATTAAAATCTGTTGCAAATGTTCTGCAGAGCTAACATATTTTCACTTGAGCCGCTGCCTGATATCAACTAGTCTAAAATTTATTACAGGGAACATAGGTGAACAGTTTTAAACTAGTCTGTGATAGGGCAGCTCCAGTGGCTCCTGCAGGCCGGGGAGTGGTCCTGGAGACCCGGGATCGGGTCCCGCGTTGGGCTCCCTGCATGGAGCTCGCTTCTCCTTCTGCCTGTGTCTCTGCCTCTCTCTCTCTGTGTCTCTATGAATAAATAAATACAACTTTTTTTAAAAAATAAACTATTCTATGATATCAACAGAAAGCAATACTTTCTCTGACTTCTAATAGCTCATTCTGGCACTTAAAGCCTCCTTAACTCTATCTCTTTTCTACTCAAGAAAGCCTTTTTCCTAACCATTCTCTCTACATGCCACATGCCTTATCACCTCCTGCCATTCCTGACACCTGGGCTTCGCCCGCCGTTTTCCCTTCTCTCTGTGCAAATTCTACTCTGTCTGAGTTCAGCTCAATTCAAATCTCCAGGGTTTCACAGTGCATGACACAGCCCTCAAAACTGTGGACAGAAGATTAATTTATCTGCACCTATGTGTTTTGCTTTTGTGAAATGAATGCTTTATATTTTATTTGAAAACTCTCTTTTTAAATTAGAGTAAAGGAAATTGGAGAGTTCATGCTTTCTTGGTTATTTTTGAGATTTCCTGTGCTTATTCCCTCACTGACATCTCCTTTCTACCACAAAGCAATGCGTTAGAAAAAAAAAGTCATTCGCTCATTATCCATGCTTTGATTCCTTCAATGCTGAATTCTTTAAGTCTTTACAGCATGTCATAGTGGAAACATCATGGACTTTGGCGCCAGAGAGACTGAGCCCAGCTCCAGCACCTACTGGGCAAATGAAATCCTCCCTACATCACGTTTTGCATGTGTAACGTAAGGGCAAGAATGCTTTATGGGGTTACAAGAAATAAACAATACGCTGTGTGTAAAACAACTGATGCACCATAAGCTGTTAATGATAGCCGTTAGCAAGAACAATGCATTATTGTTCATAGATTCCATAAGCTGGAATGCCCTTCTGTTTAGCTTCCTAAGAGGTCACTTTTCCATCATTTAAAAATTTCCTATAAATAAGAGATAAAGTACTCATGATCGTTTCCCTGGAAGAGGGAAGGGATGTGGGGGAGAGAGACTTTTACTTTTTTCTCTCCATTTTCTTATTTCAAATAACTATGAAGCTAACCTGCTCATAGACATTTGTCTATGGTGACGGATACTCCACAGCAGCCAGGGAGCCTGAGCTGCTCTATCTGATGAATCCCTAGAACGGTGCTGGCACTGATCCTTTTCCCTCCTTAATTTCTATACAAAAGAATGATCTTATGACTAATTAATTTCAAGTTAATTACAATGAACTGGTTGGATACCAAATAAATGTACTGATAATCTGTTATGAGGGAACTTTGACAGGCAGCCTATTAGCATACTTTTTAAAAGATTGCTTGGAAATCCTTTATTAAAAAACAAAACAGAACAAACTTCCTTGTTAAAAAGACTGGCTGAGAGCGGTTACAAAATGAAGGGTTTGATGGGGCCGTGTTCGTCATTTAAATACATGTGACATTTAAATAAATGTCTTTTTAATTTTTGTTTTACAGTGTACAGTTACATTCAAGAAATTTGCTGGATCTTTAGATCTAATTTTTGGATTAGAAGTGATAACATTAATTTGTTAGGAAGATAACTTATAAAGAGCATGAAGTAGTATCTTGGCAGCTTCCTACGCAGGCAGCACATTTCTCGAGAGTTATTAATGTAAATCGCATGAGAACCAGGAAAATTAGCACCACGATATGCACAGAGAGCCTAAAAATAATCAGGACGCCCCAAAAGTACTCAGGAAGGACGTCTGTGAGAAATGTAACATATGGCACTCCCCTCCTCCTTTTGTTTCTCTTTTTGCTTTTTGAATGGAATTATTTGTGGGGCAATTTCCAGTGTATTTGTTGCAGGTAAACATCTGTCTACCTTTAACTTAGTGACCTTAGAAGCAGTAGAGAGTGATGTGGGCACTTAGAAAAGCATTGGCATGTGGCATTACCAAGTAGGCAAAACAGAAGTTCTGCAGGTCTAAGGATTTTTGAAAGCCATTTAGAAACTTGACAAGAATGCTTCAATTTGTTCCCTTTCCCTCCATTTCCTTATTTAAATTTTTTTTTGTATTTTTAATTTTTTAAAATTTAGATTCAATTTGTCAAATCTCTGTCCATACACAAGAATTACACAATTCTCTCCTTTTATAATTAACAGTTTGACAAGAACAGTGGTTGTTGGGATCCCTGGGTGGCGCAGCGGTTTGGCGCCTGCCTTTGGCCCAGGGCGTGATCCTGGAGACCCGGGATCAAATCCCATGTCAGGCTCCCGGTGCATGGAGCCTGCTTCTCCCTCTGCCTGTGTCTCTGCCTCTCTCTTTCTCTCTCTCTCTCTCTGTGACTATCATAAATAAATAAAAATTAAAAAAAAAAGAACAGTGGTTGTTATATCTATATCTATGGATCAATATTTATTACTATCTAGTCAACCATACTTATATACAGTTCTGTTTGATATCTCTTTAGGGGGATAAAAAAGATAATTATAGGCAGAATCACTCTTACTTACCTTTTCACCTTGATCTCCAGGTTCTCCCTGAGCAAAAGGACAAAGATTGAGTGGCACATTAAATTATAAAACACCAAATTAAACAACACCTAACAAAATCAGATATTGAACATACTAAGTCAATTATGTGTGACCCTTTCTATTTTGGCAATATTAGAATTGCTATATTGAAAACAAATGGTGAGATGAATTTTCTGAAGAATTGGGCCTGGATATGAATATCAAATGTAATAATTCTTTACTTTTAAGGGACTAAAGAAAGATATTTCAGATTATCAGCCGGAAATCAGCTTTGGGAGCATTAAAACAATGTGGTAGCAATTCAATGTCTTGAGTGGCTTCTTAGTTTTCAAGTTTTTATTCTTCCCAAACTCAGAACCAGTAAAGTGGGCTAGCACGTCCTTTCATGGTCTTTTATTCAAAGCAGCCTCCTGTGTATAGATTATTTCAGGGGTCTGGAGTCTGCTTAAGTCCCCCAATCTGTCTTCTTTAAACATGATCAAAAACCTGGTCCTGAACTTGGACCCCTTCACAGTGTCATGAACTCTCTTTAACCTCCTGGTAACCAGCATGTTCTCAATCAGGTATATTCCAAGAGGCATTGGTACCTTTAGGAAAGAGACTAGAATGGGGCAGAGTTGAAGTGAATTTAGGAGAATGTCTTTATTCAAAATGCTGACCTGGACAGTATGAAAACTAAAATGCAAAATTGTGCTTTGCAGAGAATTCTTATTTTCACTTTACCCAGGAAGGCACAGGTGATGGAGCGGGAAAATTCTAAAGTAAATCATACACATTACGATAATATTCCTCTTATGAAAAGCATTAGTAAGTGTTGCCATGAGATCAGGCTGCTTAAAAAAATGGTTTAAGATGATTATTGTGTTTTTTTAAATTAAAAACCACTCGAAGTCAGTTTGGAGGCAAGAGTCTTCATTTGCTGGGACTCTGTCTCACCCTTTGGCTTTCTGAATTTCTGGCCACCTTTCAGTGCTCAATATCCATCCTGATGGTTGCTAGGCAACAGAATAGCACTGAGAACATGCCTTAGCCATTAACTCTTATCATTTGGCTTTTTAGCATGGAGCAAAAGAGGGGAAAAGACAGGAGAATGGCTGTAGTCCCAGAAGGAATATTTTCTTTCCTCTCCTGCAGGACAAAGGACAGGTCTATAAATTTTAGGTCTGTCCTAGGCGCCTGTCAATAGCAATGTGATCTGTAAAATCAGCTGACAGGCATCTGTGGGTACAGATACACACTAGCACAGCTGACAGGATTAGACATTAGCTATGTACTTCAAGGGATGTTCACTCATCAAAGGATTTGGGATTTGTCTGTCTGGTTTAAACAGTTTAAACTGTCACCAATCTTTTTATATTTAACAGATTCATTTGTTCTTCAAAAAACAAAGAAAATTTGCAATGCCCCCAAATCCTCATTACATTTTTTCCCTATTTAGTAATTCAGACTATATCCATTTTTAAATTTTAAACACGTTACATCTTGGGGTGCCTGGTACCCCAGTTGGTAGAGTATATGACTCTTCATCTAGGGGTTGTGAGTTTGAGCCCCATATTGGGTGCAGAGATTACTTTAAGAAAATAAAAATCTTAGGGACGCTTGGGTGGCTCAAGGTTGATGGGTGAGTGTCTGTCTTCAGCTCAGGGTGTGATCCCAGAGTTCTGGGATCCACTGCCGCACTAGGGTCCCTGCAGGGAGCAGGCTTCTCCCTCTATGTCTCTGTGTCTTTCATGAATGAATAAAGCCTTTAAAAAAATAAAATGAATGAATAATAAAAATAAAGTAAAATCTTAAAAATCAAAACATGCCACATCTTTACTCTGCTCTTCATTTAATTAACCAGTTATGTTACGTAAGTGTTGGAGGTGATCAAATATTGAAGAAAGGCCACAGTGGCATTGTGAGAATCATCTTTAGTAAGTCTTATAAATATTATGAACATTTTAGGCAGTGTGGATATGGCCTACATTTTGATACACTCACTAAGTGACAAAATGACAATAGTCTTATTTGAAATATGGGCTTTTTCTCATGTTATTGAAGTATCCCAGAATAAAGATTTTGATCATATTTATTTGTTTTTCTGCAAATGAGAGTCACAAATATAATTTGGTCATTAGTCACACTTTTATACTGTTGCATATTATACTACTGACAAATATTCCATCCAAGTAAAACCAGTGGGACCTAAAAAAAAGTTATAGGTTATAATTTCATGAAAACTCAAATCTCAAATGATTCTGCTTGGTTTCATTTGTACTAACCTTTGGCCCTGGTATTCCGTTTTGTCCTACTGTTCCAGGCAACCCGGGCTCACCCTCATGAAAAAAATAGATACTATTAAATAAAATAGACAAAATCCATAAGATATATATATATCATTAGAGGATATAACTATCCAATAATGCTCTAGAAGTAGAAAAATAAAAAAAAAATAAAAAAAATAGAAGTAGAAAAATAAGTGCCTACTAGTATAAATACAAATGAGTTCATTTGGTCCAAAATTCTATGTGCTAAGGACCAAGGATAACATAGGGTTAATTTCCTTTGTTCAATATTTTCTCCATTAAGAAAGCTGAAGCAACTTACCGACAGAAATGAGTATCTAGCATGGTATTGGGTACCTTGTAGGCAATAAGTAAATATTTGTGGAATGAATTAAAGACATCTGAAAATATAAGCTCTCTTGATGGAGAACTTTTAAGTGGTTCATTAGCTCAGGAAAATAAAGACTAAATCATTATATTTATGAGACTTAATCTAACAAGTATTTCCAAATCTAAAGCTTAAAGAACACACACATCTTTGAATACCTACAAAATTAGACACATTTGACACAAAAGTCAAAAATAAACATGGCTTTGGCTTCTCAATTTCATGGTAAAAAATAATTAGAATAAAACATTCAGAACTGTGGCTCTTATTGTCCTATGGAGTGATAGGCTTTTGGGAGAAAGATGATGTTACTAGGTCAGAAAAGTTTCCCATCTCAGAAAGACGAGGTTGTATAACAGTTTTCCTAGGCTCTGAACTAGCAATTATTTTCCAAAGAGGAGAAGTCATGAAGTTCCCAGAAGCAAAGGTGAGATAATCTGGCTCTCAATGCTTCCATGTGACTCAGAGTCATATCAACCAGAATTTCATTTTCATTTAAAAACATTCCCAAAGTCATTTACAGTGTGCACCAATGATGGGACAGCTTTCTTCTTTTCACTGAGGGTAGTAAAGTTGCTCTTTAATTGATTAAAAAAAAAAAAGACTATTTTTAGAGCACTTTTAGGTTCACAGCAAACTTAGTTGATTTTTAAGTGTGTTTTCTAAGTCACCTACAGGGCAGAGACTGCGCCATTTTAATATTTGTGCTCTCACCTTCGAAAACATGTACATTAATAATAGTACCATATTTAAGGTCCCAGGAATTTTACATTCATCAATTCATTTAATTCTCACAAATTTCTATGATGTATCTTTTATCTCTATTTAACAGATGAAGAAACTGTGGCACAGAGAGGTTTAAGTAACTTTTCTAGATTCACACAACTCTAGCCAAGATTTCAACTCTCATGATCTAGCTTAAGAGGTTGTGCTCTTCACAGTAGATACATTCCTGAATGAATGAAAGCATCTAAAAACTGGGAGAGAATTCATGGGAGTATTTGTATTCTCATTGTCATTTGGTTTATACTTCTCATTTATAAATGACCTTTCAGAATGTATAGAAACCTGAATTAAATACAACTTATATAAAGGTGATTTAGGTATGCCTCCAAGATAAACGAAGAATATGAAGCTTACGTTATCTTTCTAGAAGAGCAAAATAATATTTTACTACTATACTGGTTTATTATAATTGCTAAAGTCTTAACTTTCTGGAAGAAATTCTGCTTTGTATATAAAGTTACACTATAATTGTAACTCTTGCACTTTCCTTGGATAAATGGCAAAAATGCTGAGAGAAGAGCAATGGCCATTATAGGAAAATTTTGACCAGCCATTTGTACATCACAAAGAGTAACAACTTGGAAATAGAAAATGCCCTGAAAGAGGACTATCATTTACTCTGCAACAGAAGAAGAGCTATCAAGTCTGCTCTCTTCAAAGAATCCACAACAGGATGCACTAATATCATAACTCATGGTTTAATGCAAATAAGAGATGCTGCCAGGAAACAATACAAACTTTGTTTAGACTTTCAAAGAATAACCATGGTAGCCAGAATAATAATAAAAAAATGGTTAAGCCCCTGGAACTGAACAAAGTACATGTCGTGATTCTGCAGCAAGGAAAAGAGACATTGCTTAGGTATCTGGTTAACATCCTCCTTAATATATGAACACTGAGAGACTAAAACTTGATCCCTTTTTAAAATGTTTATATATTGTTAAAATAATCTTTTAACATAGTAGGAAACAAAAAAATGCACCTATGGTTCTATCACCCTTATAATTATTTTGTTCTGTTTCCGTCTAGTCTTTCTTATTTATGCTTACGTGTTTCAAGCAATTGTAAGCTTATTACATAGTTTGACACTCTGATTTTTTATTTTTTGATCCTACATAGTTGTTTTCACATGGTATTCATGATTGCCTTGTAAATGGTTTGATTATCTTCTAACAAAGTCAGGTGTGATCATATGTTTACTCTGTCCCAAACAGAATACTTGATTGTTGCCAATTTTTGCTATTAAAGATAAACGAAAACACCCACCTTTGTAAATATTTCGAAATTGCTTTCCAAAGGAATCTGAGTTTTATCTGCTTCAATCGGCCCCCATCTGTGTTACGTTTTCACAACTTCATCAACATTGGATATCACAATTTTAATTACTTGGGGGGCAATTTTAATAAACACAAATAAGAGTTTACTGTTGCCCAATTTTACATTTATCACTTGTAAGGTTGTTTTTTTCACATGTTTATAATTTCAATAAGTATCTCACAAAATTTTAAAGTTAAAATTTTGAAATTTTAATTTTAATTTTAAAATGAATAAAGCTTTTTTCTGAATGAAGCAAGGGAAGAGAAAAAGAAGGAAAAGTGACAAAGTGACTCAGAGCATTTTACCTTTCTAATAAGTTATGTCAAGAAGAATATATTCAAGTTTATATTAGGAGGCCATGGAGCATTCTGCTACTTTCCAACCTAGTTCGCCAGGTTGTGGGAAAGGAATGTTAAGGATGAAGAGCTGGAGAACTCTGAGCGCCAAGTCTGAGCTATGGTATTCTGGAAGACATTAATTTATTCAACTAAGATTTAGTGAGAATTTTCTAGCTATTGTACTCTGGGCTGAGTGTTTCATGGGATATAAAGATAAAATAGGCATGAGAGATACCTGTGCCCAAAGAGCTGAGTTTTGAGCCAGAAAAAACAATACATATAAAAATAACTTAAGAGGACATCTAATTGAGGTCACAGGATTTTTTTTTTTTGAGCGAAGTTTTCTTGCACTTCATTAAATAAAGAAACATGAATCAAAAGGAGTGTTAAAGAAGAATAAACCATGTGTCATATAGTGTATTAATATTTTCCGGTATATGAGCATAAAATATTATGAGTCCCCTTCAAATAAAGTTACAATGACATTGCTACATAATGTAGTAAAAATATACATATGCAGAAAAATCAGAAAAGCAGAGACAAAAAAAATGACAATTAGGTTTCATGTGTGTGTAGAGAGTCTCCTATTTGTTAGAGAAACTGTTCATCTATTTCCGAATGCATTTCCCAAGTACTGAAGGATATTCCAAAGATAGTAATGATGAAAAAACAGCAGCTAACATCTTTACAGGTAGATGATAGGGTTCTCTCTCTTATACTTTAAATTCTAAAGTATTCCCTGTGTATTACTCAAATATGACGATGTGTGTATTTAAATAAGTTGTACTGACCTTTAGGAAAGCCAGCTTGCTACTTTGTTTCTTTCTTTCTTCCTTCCCTTCTCTCTTTCTCAAACCAAATGCTCTTTAGAACTCTAATGTAAGACAGCGCTCAGGACTTTTACAATTATCTCAGGTATGCTAATCAGGGGCAACTTGAAAGAATACTGAAAGATAGGAAGGAATGTAGTTGTCTTATGAAACTGAGTGCTAACAGGAAATAGGTCATTTAATGGTAATATTGCTGCCTGAGGGCAATTGTTTTCTATTCTGGCGATGGGAATTTACAAGGAGTTGTAGCTTAAAATTTTCAGCATAATATAGTTTTACGTTCACTTGTCAAATCAGATTTTGTTTCTTTTAAGTACTGCATCTCAGAAAGAACTCATCCACACAGAAGAGGAAAATAACTACAAGGAACGTGGACCAGCAGTGGATGGGAAGACTAATACTGAGCAGAACATGATATCAGTTTTTTTAATTTTTTTTTCTGGAATTTTCAACTCTTCCTTAGGTTTATTTATTTTTTTAATTTAATTTTATATTTTAATTTATTTTTTAATATTTTATTTGAGTATAATTGACATACAATGTCACATGAGTTTCAGATGTACAGCTTAGTGATTCAGATGCAGCTTCTCTATAAGTTATGGTATGCTCACCATGAGTGTACCTAGCATACAATGTTATTATAACATCACTGACTATATTCTCTATGCTGTGAACATGGCATTGGTCTTAAGGTTGTTCTTCTACCTCTGGAGTAGGGGGTGTTGGTGTGTCCACGTAATAAAATAAAGACGAATGGTCACTGCCATCTGAAACATTGAGTGTGCTTTTTTCCTGACAGTGACAGTGCAGTGACAGTGCACAGAGGAATCTCAGTGGCTTGAAGGCTGAGCAGGACTGGCCTTTAGTCCCCTTCTCCAGGAAGACATGATGGGGGTGGTGGGTGTCCTTTTATAATGCTTTGGGGCCACAGAGGCATTGGCAGCAATTGGATAAATAACATCGGTAGAGGAAGATTATTTGAAAGCAGCAAGGCACCCAAGAGGGAGTTCTAGATCCAACTCTGGGGAAGAGTCAAGAAAATGGGTTTTTGCTCTCCATTCATTTATTCTCTCTAGCTTACTTTAGTTTACTGATTTTCTACTCTGGTTGTCTAATGGCAAATGAATATGAGCACTGGGTTGGGCGAAGGTAGGAGGTACAAAATGACCTACGTATTTTGAAATGTATAGAAATGCAGCATTTTATGACACAATAAAATAAAAGTCCTAGCCCCAACCTTTAAGAGCTATTAATGTTTTGGAAAAAAATCACTTGTCTTTTTGCACACCTCTCATGGCCTTCAGCCTTAGCTCAAATGTCCCCTTACCTTACTACAGGGGTTGCCTGGATACCCCACCACCACTTCCTGTGCTCACTACCTTACTGAATTTT